AAACTGGCATCGGTCCTTGAAAACCTCTCCTTATTGTAGGAGGTGGAATGGCTGGTGGGGGATTATACACTTCAGGTTCTGTGTCGGTACCCTCTGAATCTTCATCTTCTTCTTCCTCCATTGGTTCCTCTTCTTCTTCCTCCTCGTCTACAATTTCTTCTGGATCCTCTTCCGGATCATCTTCTATCCATCCTCCATTGCCTTGGTTCGGGAAGTAAGGGTCCCCTAGTAAATAAAATCCGGCCATTGTGTCTGTACGAGAATAGGGATATGAGAATTGTATGAAAAACTAAAGCATATACAATTAAGCATCGAATTTGAACTTTTGCATTTATAAAATACTCCTATAGTATTTTAAATTTTTATGTTTGATTCATATGTTTATAAGTTTGGTAAGTTTTAGACTTGTTGTCCACTACACCTATTCCCTGACATATGTTAGTCGGCTCTCAGATAAATATAGTTGATCAGGCTATATTCATCCCAGTCCCGATTACATATTTCAAGGCATACTTGTAGTGCACCACTTATCTATAATACTTCTATATTGTTTTTATTACTACACTGTTCCTACTATAATGTATGCATGTATACTTTTATAAAAAAATTTATTTTAAAAAGTATAACTCTTAATCAGAGTGTTTTTGCCTAGTTGTATTTATAGTTGTATATCAAAAATGGTTTGATATACTTAATTCACTATAAACAATGCTCTGATACCAATCTGTCACAACCCCCAGACCTGAACGGCGGAAACATTCGGGGGCGGAGGACGTCATGTACAGTATCATAACAATTGAATAGTAAAGAAAGTACACGCAACCATCATATACATAATTGAAAATTTTACATGATTGTAAGTATTACATGTTTGAAAAGTCAATTACAATATGATGTCCAAAAGATTTTATTAACGCCTGAGCGTCAATCTTCAAAAGTAGATGATAACCTGATTTAGCGATTCCCTGAGAATACAAGTTATTTTAAAGAAAAAGTGTCAACAATTAAGTTGGTGAGTTCATGAGTAGTTAATTGAATAAATGCATGCCATTCGTAAGTTCATGTGTGTTTCCAGAAAATCTGATATTTTCTATAAAATGAGTTATGATTTGTTGTTGTATAAAATGGATGTATTGAACCCGGAAAATCCTATATTTTCCTAAAATTGAGAAGTAGTCTTAATGCTCCAAGACCCTAAATTGTAAGTAAATATGTCATACTTAATTTGATAAAATATAGTTTTATTAGTTAAATAAAACTATCTGAAGATCTGTATTTTCACGTAAAAATAATTGTAATATTACTGTTTACGTAAAACATAATACCGTAAAAAGTCGTCTGTCATGTGAGTTTTCATAACCGTACTTAGATGGGTTTGCCTGTAGCGACGTTCTTCAGGCGTCGAAATGTTATGACATTTGTCACCCATAACCTACCGGTCAGACTGTAGCTAACAGCCAGGCTGTGGGATCATCAGTCCCGTATAGATCTGTACACACTTATCATGTTCTCCGGACGGAGACTCTGGTTATAAAACAGGACTTTCTTGTATACCTTGATAGGTACTGGGAAGACGAATGACTCACAAATTTCCAACGAGATTACGTATTTTCGAAATGAATATCGTTATGTCTGAAATGGTTACCCTTTTTACGATGTTTATAAAGGCATAAAAGTAAATCATATTTTTATATATAAACATTATTTTATCCCGAGAGGGTAAAATAGTATCATGAGATGTTTTGCATGCTAATAATTTTCATATAATCGTTATAACAACAACAAGAAACTATAGCAAAAGATTGATATTTTTAACATGATTTATTCACGTGTTTACTTGTATTCCCCCCCCCCCTCTAAAAATGTAGAAAAAATATGTATAATAGGGGTATGAACTCACTTGGTGTAGTGACGATTTGACGAAAACTAAGCTTTACTCGGGTAGCACTTCGACTGGAAAGAGGTTAGCGTCGAGAGTTTCGGGGCTTTGGGCCTTCGTCAGAGCTTGGATATGTCACCGGGGCGTCGGGGTAGTTAGAAGGGCTTAAAAGCATGTAAATATAGGAGAGAGGTTGTGAATTTGCAACCTAAACCCGAAGCCTCGCACCCTTTATATAGGGCTGGAATGAATCTCATACGCAGGGCGTTCCTGCGAGGAACGTTGGGCGTTCCGGAGCGCAGGGCGCTCTCCTCGTAAGCAAACGCGTTCGGTCAGGCGTGGCGCTCCATCGGATACCGAGCTTCAGACGCGACTGGTGATGCGACTAGGGGGTGACGTGGACAATCCGAGGCCCTGCATTGCGAACGCGGGGCGTTCCCTCGGAACGCAGGGCGTTCCCTTCGGATAAGCCTCGAAGTGTGTGCCCAGATCTTTAAAATTCCGTAACTTTCGCATACGAGTTCCGTTTTTGATGTTCTTTATATCCACGCGTAGGTGAGATTATAATCTACATCTTTCGTTTAGACTCCGTCGACAAATTTTGACTTTATTTTTAATGTTATATTTTTAAAATGCCGGGACAAGAAAAATCCGTTAATAATTGATAACTTCTTCATCAAGCTTCCGTTTCCGTCTGTCTTTTTACCGTTGTACTACTATTAATGAGACCTTCAATTCTCGTTTAGATTGTGTCAGCCAAAAATCATTAGATCTTTATTTCGAGTTTAGAAAAATCATAACTTCCTCATACGAAGTCATATTTGGACGTTCTTTTTATGAAAACTCTCGGTTTAGTGTATTCTATGACTTTCATTTAGATTGTTTAGGCTAAAAAGCGTTCTATCAAGAACTCACTTTTTATGACACACAGTGTCGTGCCGGTTCCGACGCGGAAATTCGATGGGTCTATCAGTTTTTACATCCCAATTGAGATTTTTGAACATTTCATTTTTGACACTATTTTTATTATTTCAAAAATAGGTTACAATACTTGACTTTAGATCATTATATTGACTTGAAATATCGGGTTGTTACACATTAGCCTTTTAGAAAACAACCATCTAGGCCAATGACACTTCGGCAACCCCTAATACACCCATCCTTTATATCCTTGAAACATACATAAAATCTTCTAAATACACTGCTACCATCTTCTTTGATATCAACTCCATCCTTTGATATACTACCAGAGTTTGATCTGATGATCTTTCCTCCATGCATATTCCCATATACGAGAAATATCTCTTGCTTTATTCTTAACCCTACAGCACTGTCCCATTGACACAATACATAAAAACGTCTTCTTAATTTCTTCTTTCATCTCCTTGGCTTTCATTTTTGGTCTAGCACTCAATTTTTTCAAGAAATGTTTGTCTATCCAGTCATGATTAACCAATGTGGCATGCTTGTAATCCCTAACACAAGTATGCTTACTAGTAAGGCCCTTAATTTGAAATAATTTTTCTTTGTTTATCTAGGATGCCCACAGCTTGAAGGTACACATCTTGCCTTTATTGTTAAAACCACATTTTGCTTGAAGCCTTGTACTAGAAGATTTGGTCACCTTAACTAGATAACCATTGCGAAATGCATATTCAGTCGGTCAGAACCATAACTTAGTTCGATTAGCATAATTTTCACCAAAATGTGGTTTCATTTTCTTCCAATGAATAGAAGGGTCATGAACACTAAATTGGGTTGGATCTTGATCAACCTCATCCTCGTTATCATCCATTTCATTATCAGAATGAAATTATTCTTTAAGGACTTCATCAACATTTTCCCTCTCATTGTAAACAGGAACATTGCAGAAATCATAAAAGAAGGCATTAAAAGGTACCTTTAAATGATGATAACTAATGTGTTCATCTGCATAACAGTCATCCAACTCTTCATCAACAGGAAATGTCCTTTCTGATTCACTCTTTAATTGACTCAAATTCACTTTCTTCAAAATTGTAGTTGTAATATGGTCCCCTTTCCATTTGATCGGACAGTTACACTTTCTCATCTTAGGTTGTGGTTTCTTCATCTTATGCTTTCACCTTTCTTCTTGTAATCGGGCGGTTTTCCTATATTCACATGGTAACGCCGGTACAAAATCTTCGGAGTTATAGTTGTTGTAAACCCTTGTTAATGAGGGTAGAAAAGCTTTGTCTTGTGCATGACTGTGTTTTGTCGGGAGGTTGAATGAGGGGAAGGGGATGATTGGCAAAGGATTTAATGAACCCGATGACATGTACAATGGCTCACAAAAGGTATTGGGGAGAAGTAACCGGTTAACCGATTGTAATAGGTCATATGGTTATATTTAAGAAAAATCAATAACACGGTGTCAAAATTGATAAAATAAAAACATAATGTCAAATTAGAATTTTTGTGTAAACTTAATGTCTTTTGTGCTATTTTCAATTTATTTTTAATGGTGACAGTTAAAACAAACTTAAGTTGGTCTAGTGAAGTATTATAAAGTGAACTTGCAAATGGGTAGAGGTGGTTGTACGTGCCAGAAAAATGTATTCTTGTTATTGGGAGTTGGTTGATAAATTTTAATGGTATGTATTCTTATTTTATTACAATCCGATAAAAAATATGATCAAATAAACATATATATTTTTATATTATTTGATCATTTAAATGAACAACTTTTTATTTTAATATTTTAAACTAATTAAACATGTTAAAAAAATTCAATAAATCCTTCTATTACATATTTCATTTAATTGTTTATTTACTTGATACTTTAATTTAATCATAACAAATATAAATGTACACTTTATTTAATATATAAATGTTTCGGGAAAAGTATTCAATGAGAGGCTAATAGTGCCAATAAAAGGATCGGAATAATGCAATTTGATGAAGAAAAAAGAATAGCTTAATTGCCTTTAAAGCACTTTCAAATGGACCCACGCCTTGTCTTCTCAATACCTCCCCCTCCATGATTTGATTTTCAATTTTCAATTTTTTTCATTTTCCCATCTCTCTTCAATTATATATCTTCAAATTCCTTTCTCTGTTCTTTAGAAAACTGATCTTAATTATTTGCTATATTAATCTGATGTCTAATGATCAGCAGATTAAGGGAAGATCTGAAATAGGTGAAGGATCATCAAGGGGTGGCGGAGGTGGAGGAGCAGGAGGTGGAGGATCAGGAGGAGGAGGAGGTGGTGGTGGCGGTGTACTTCTACCTTCTGATTCACAATCAGCACCGGCAGCACCACCACAACTAAGCCGATATGAGTCACAGAAGCGGCGTGATTGGAACACTTTCGGACAGTACTTGAAGAACCAAAGACCACCAGTGGCTTTGTCTCACTGTAGCTACAGTCATGTACTAGATTTCCTTCGGTACCTCGATCAGTTTGGAAAGACTAAGGTTCACTTACAAGGTTGTGTATTTTTCGGTCACCCTGATCCAGCTGGCCCTTGTACTTGCCCACTTAGGCAAGCTTGGGGCAGCCTTGATGCCCTTATAGGGCGTCTTCGTGCAGCTTATGAAGAAAATGGTGGATTACCTGAAATGAACCCGTTTGCTAGTGGGGCAATACGTGTTTACCTACGTGAAATTCGTGATTCACAAGCCAAAGCAAGAGGAATTCCTTATAAGAAGAAAAAGAAGAAGAGAAACACTCCGATTCTAAAGGCAAACGAAGAATCATCAAGTTTCCGAATGCAGCAATCATGATGTCTGGTTCTTCTTCTTCTTCTTCAAGAAACTTCAAGAAACTGGTAATCTTTGTACTAATTAATTATTGTATGCTTGACTTTGGTTTTTTCTAAACATATAAACTACGCTCATAAATGGGTTTTTCTTAAAGATTAATAGATCATAATTCTATGTATGACAAACACTAGATTAATTTTCCAAAAAGCATTTCTTTTGGGGAGAAAAGCAAACCCTAGCAGACGCATATAGTTTCAGAAACCCTAATTTGCATGGAGAACTCTAATTCAATTATCTCTCTCTCTCTCTTTCTCTATCTTCAAAACTGGTTCCTTCTCAAAAATTAAAAAATAGATTAAATTTTAATTGTTTTAAAACGTTTGAAATATTATTGTCAATTTTTTTAATGAAAATGCTCCTTTATTAATCACTATTTGGAAATAGCTACCCTTGTCTCTTTTGGGATTCTACACTAATTGAAGTGACCATCAAGATTTGCTTACATTACCTTAAGTAAACACAGTGAATTTATTAATAATCAATGTAGCACACATTAACAGTGTGTTTTGGTTGAAGCATTAATGTATAAGTTCTAATTTAATCCACTCTACTTGCTTGAATAGTGTCTATATTGATTTATTTTTAGAAATATAACACTCAAATACATGCACTGACCATTCAAACAATTTCCCACTAACCATTTTGTTTGTATCATATGGTCAGCAGAAACAAAATACATTTTGTTATTTAGTTAAATTAAGTAAAAAAATAGACTTACAAGCTTAGAAACACAACACCGTAATTCATTAACTTACCTGAATTGTTTTACAATAACAAGCTAATTAGCTATCCTGATTAAGATTGAAAAATGTGGGATTCGAAATTCGAACAATTCTTTGCCTAATTCTTAAATCTCGTAAGTGATCTCCACATTGATTTACCTGAATTTGATTGGGCAAATTAAAAAAATTAAGGGTAATTAATCATATATAATATTAAAGATTCAAACATATTATTGACGTATCTATTCAATTACTCATTTAAATGTTATCCAAAACCGGTTCTTACATACATTGTAATACTAAATCCTAGATCGTCAAATCAACAATGTCTTATTTATTCGTTACCATATTCTCCTTGTTTGTTCGTACTCCTATTAGCATATCCTAAAATCGAAATTACATATTATTGTCTTTTTCTCTTCTTGGTTATACAAATTATTTGCATTACCACACATGCACACCCACCTATATATAATCTGTATGTATGTACATTATATAATTCTTAAGGATTTTTGTATTGGCTAGTATGATTGGTGTCGAACCCTCTTATACGCCTCCGGTTAGTCATTTTATCAACTGATTAACAACTCCTCCATATAGCTTGACTATGCTGTAGACTTTTATTTGGTTTCTCTACTATCATGCGGGTCATTGTTTGATAACATTTCAGCTGTTCCAATTATATTTTACGTGCGTAAGTCCACAAAATTGAAAATAACAAAGTTAATAATCAAATCTTATTATATATCAAGATGTTTCTTTGAAAAATATTCTATTCTTTGAACGATTTATAATAATTATATTGCATTTCAGGTGGACATGAACATAAAAGATTTCAAGCTCTCAATATAAATCAAAGACTTCCAGTAGAGTTGATACAGCTTCTGGTACTCCATTGAGGCAAAACGCCTCAATTTCTAGAGCTGTGGATTGGGTACGATGCTATATAAGTATATTAATAAAGGGATTAGCTATTATTTATAAATATTTATATTTCAGAAAAGCAAAGATAATTGGATAGATCTATATATTGTCGATATTAAATGTTTTTTATTTATTATATTGGGAAATGCAGGTTTTTGAAGTTTACTTAATTACCCATTTATCTTACATTAGTACAATTAGAACAAAAAAATATAATACTCCCTCGGTCCCAATATTATTGTCCACACACAAAAAACACACATATTAAGAAAAACATTAATTACCATTAATTTTTTTTTAATAATATGACAGTTTTGTCCTTACTTTGCATTTAATGTTCCATTAAATGCTTAGCTACTTAAGTAATAATAAGGTGGTATTTTGGTAAAAATGTTACTTATTTTTAGAAGTGAACTATTATTTTGGGACAAACCAAAAAGGAAAGATGGACTATAATTTTGGGACGGATGGAATATTAATTATTTAACAAAGATCTTTTTCATGAGTATATATATATATATATATATATATATATATATATATATATATATAGAGAGAGAGAGAGAGAGAGAGAGAGAGAGAGAACCATATTCATTAGTTTTCCAAGGACCCAATTTTCTTTTTCAAGTTTTAGAGCTTATTGTTTATATATCGAAAAAAAAAACAATTAAAAATTTATAAATTAATAACTTCACATTGTGAATGCTAAAAAATAAATTATATATTTTTTGAGTTCGCCGTATGAATTCAGATTCATACTGTGAATCTATACAAATTCACACTGTGAATCTATACAGATTCACAATGTGAATTTGATAATTTTTTTTATTGAATTTTATATCATTAGTTCATTGATTTCTTGATTAATTATGGTTCTCTATTGAACCTCACCATATATATATATATATATATATATATATATATATATATATATATATATATATTATATATATATATATATATATATATATATATATATACACACACACACACAAAGAAGTTATCAAATTGTATTGTTAAAAGTAACACGAAGATCCGAGTCAGACGTTCTACTATTTCACTAACTTTTAGCTAAGAGCTTTATACCCTTTGAAGATTTACCCGATCCTGAAAAACACACATCAATAAAAGTAAGTTATGGGAGTTTAATTAGTTAGTAAGCTTAATAATAGTATGTGTAATAATTGCCTAAATCAATTATATTAATTAATCCACCAACAATTCATTTAAGTTCTTATAATGCCTTTTAAATAACTCAATATAGATACTCATAATATGCTTTACCATACAAGTTCTCAAAACAATAGAATTCTTGCTACTTAAGCTTCTACTTCAGCAACAGTTCTCAACATTGCTTTTACGACCACTCAAGCTATTATCCAGATCATCAACTACTAACAAAGGATATTGTCAAACACCACACTAATTAATTTATCACCTATCCACAATAGATATTCCTGCAAGATCATGTGGCTTACCATACTCGTTGGATATTACCACAAAGTACTTGTTGTGTGACTCATCATACTCGTTGGATATTCCCATAAGGTACTTTCACTGTGACTTACCATACTCATTAAGTAATACCACAAGCTTCTCGTTACGTGGATCATTATATACTCATCGAATATTATCATAAGGTACCCATTATGTGATTCACCATACAATCTATTAGCCATCAACAATTAATGCCACTTAGCTATAATATTACACCAACATAATTCCCTTTTCAAATAACAACAAACAACTATGGAATTACAGCCACAAAGGCTTGCATTTCAGGTAACAACAAACAACTATGATATAACAACCAAAGAGGCTACCATTTTAGCAAACATCAAAAGACTATGGTATATTGGCAATAGAGGCTAGCATTCAACTAAAAACAAACAACTATAGTATTACGGCCACATGGGCTACCATTTTAACTAATAAAAAACAATTATGCTTTTACGACCACATGGGATAACATATCAACTAACAAAAAACAACTATGGTACTACGGCTATAAAGGCTACCATTCAACTAACGGCTTCCCATATTGCAAGATTACAATCAACATAATCTTAGCTATAACAAAAGGGTTTTATACATAAAAGTTTCAATATTTTGAGAAAATAATTAATAGAGTCCTAAAAGTTTTTTTAATAGAAAATTCCTGATTATTGAACATTTTGCCCAAATTAAAAAAAGAGTAATTTTTTATATTTTAACAGGAAATGACAAATTATGTGATTTTTCCTAAATAATACGAATTTTTTTATATAAAAAAAAAACTTTTACGACATTATCAAACATTTTTCCAAAATATTGGGACTTGTCTGCATAAAACCCATAACAAAACATTATATATCAACAAATACTAATAAACAACTCGTTTATGCAGGGCTAGTTACATCATACAACATAAATATACTAAGTTTCTCAACCATATATGCTTATTACTCCACACAATAATAATAGTCTATAAATCTAAACTATGCCAACTTATCATTCATTACAACTATGATGTATAATAAATATTAGATATAATAGCTTATTGGACCATAAATCAATACCCTATTGTAAATCTCGATTATTGCATTTTATTAACTCATACAACATTGATAAATAATAGTTAACATATATCATCTTACATATAACACAACAATATCCACATATCTAGATATTAATTATCTAGTAAGGAAGCATGGTTAGTCACCTTTTAATGTTTTGTATATACGTAATTCCAACTCTTGAAGCCCCACATCTGTTTTATTTCTATAAATCGTCAAAATCAAATACTTATTTAAGTATCATAACCGGTTAGCTGTAAAAATAATGCATCAATCAACTTGTGTATCAGAAGTCAAGGCACAACTCATTTCTGCATAGCTCATCTTCAACATCTCCATCTCAATTTTGGGGCTTAACATCTTCACCAAAATTAATTATACTCTAGGAATATGTTGTGTATGTGTATCAATTCATTAAGGTATAATTAAGTACAATTTCACTTATAACATATTTCATCAAAATTAGGGTTTAAGACCTTCTTCCCTAATATAAGTATTTAGCCGTGATTTCATCATATACTATCTAACAACATGATTACTAAGCTCATTTCAACATAATATTAAGCTTTATTTACATAAAAACATACATAAGGTAGAATTGCATCATTCGTCCATTTACACCATAAACACCAATTATGGTTGATAATAAAGATGAAGTTTACCTTAAATCCAAGTAATGAAGTTTGATTCTTAATATCTCCTTTGTACGTAAAGACTTTTAAAAGGATTTGGATCACTAAAATCATTCCTAGTAGCTCTCCAAGGTGTGTATGGATGAGATAAGATCCAGGAGGATCGACTTGTGCCATAATATCCGGTTGTGAAGTTCGAACTTGGGACACAACCCGTGTCTCCATTCACAAGACATATGTCTCACTTAATGATGTTTAGAATTACAACCTACTTCATAAAAAATGCTTTTGGTTGTTCAAAGTCAATACAGAACCTGTATCCCATATTCCATCCTATTTGAGAAATGTACTCTACATCCTAATTTTTAATACCATAACTTCTTCATACATGCTCAAATTCTGATGATATTAATTGTCACACACCCGACCGAGGAGACAGAACATGTTGGGCTGTGCGACTTAGTTCATGGATCACAGGCAATTGGATATACATCATAAGTACAACTATAACAAACCAGTAGTTGTATTTCATCTTGAAGTTTGAAATACAAGATTATTATAGATAATAATAAAGAACATGAATTGTCTTAAAGGGAACGCATATATAACAAAAACTAGAAAACTAGGTCGCATGAAATCCATGACTATTCCGTCGTTTGAAATGATATTTTAGTGCTTTTATGAGAATACACGTAGTTTCGAGGGTCAACACAAGGTTGGTGAGAGTTACAAGTTTTCTGCTGGAGCAGTATTGATACTTTTAAAATGACCAAAAAATATATTCTTTGTAAGTAAAACCATACTTAAAAATGAGTTTATTAAAATCATACTTATATTCTTTAGAGAAACTTTTAAAACCAAAAGGTGTTTTTCCATACGTAAAATCTTACTTATAACTTTTTTTCTAAAATCATATATATATATATATATATATATATATATATATATATATATATATATATATATATATATATATATATATATATATAGAGAGAGAGAGAGAGACAGAGAGAGAGATCCAGTTAATGTTTATAGTGAGTCCTATAACTGATTTATATGACTAAAGTACCCTACAACACATCATTAGATGTTGTAGAAATAACTTAAGATATTTATCACCTACTTCGACTTGACCATCGTGATTGTAGCTAGCAACCGTAGGTGGAGATGCCAAACCCGTATACATCTATACATATGTATCTCGCTCTGAGGATTAACGATTATAGTGGTGTAGGTATGCTAAATTTTTATACTTAGGAAATGAATAGTGTCTCACTATAAAAGCTATTAACTAATGTACATGAATAAGCTATCCTATCTTATATGTGGATAAGCATACAGGGCGTAATGATAGAGAGTAGATAACCGTAACTTATAAGTGGATAAGTCACTAGGAAAAATTATTTATGTTGAATAAATATTTACTATAAAAGCCGAGTATGTTTGAAAAGTATGTACAAGAAAATGTACGATACACACTTCAAATAGATGGTAAATATCATAGTAGTGTACACAAGTACATGTATAATTTGCAAGTTATAATGTTAATATATATATATATATATATATATATATATATATATATATATATATATATATATATATATATATATATATATATATAGAGAGAGAGAGAGAGAGAGAGAGTAAATTACACGAATGGTACCTATGGTTTGTGGTAATTTGCACGTTTGGTCCATAATTTATTTTTTAAATTCGGAAGGTCCCTACAATTTGTTTATGTTACGCTCTTGGTCCCTGTCTTACCTAAAAGATTATTTTGCCATTGATTTTTTAATTTATTTAAATATAGTTGGGTATGTAAGGTAATATAAGATGAGGTGGAAGTGGGGTTGGGGTGTGTTTATTTTTATAAATTAAAAAACTAAGGGCAAAATAGTCTTTTTAGGTAAGACAGAGACCAAACGTGCAACAAAAACAAACAGCAGGGACC